AGGGGAGGCCCCGCCGCCCGCTCTGACTGCTCCCGTTTCTCTGATTATCCATCTGCTCGATCGCGGAGCCGCCCGGGGCCGCGCGCTCGGCTCCGGCCCCGCCGCGGGGCCCTGTCCCCGCGTCCCGCCGTGGGCGAGGGCGGCCCCTCCTCGGAGCTCCGGTTCCCTCCGGGCTCCTTCCTGCCGGGCTGGCCCTGCCGGAGCCGGACCCGGCCCGGGCTGGGGGCTGCGACCGGGGAGGCAGCAGGCGGCCTGTTTTGGGAGCGGCAAGGGCCGGCCCACGTAAAGAGAACAGCGCTCAGCCATGGTGCGTGGGCAAGCGGCAAGCACGGGCCCCGCGTGTTGGGCTTAGAACATGAAAAAAATAAAGCTTTTCAAGCTCTTGTTAATAATTTATATATATATACGCACACACACATACAAAAGCACTTTTCAGAGTGCTGCATTGAGTGTCGTTGCTGGCTTTGACCACGAGAGGGAAATGAAAGCCCAGCCGGAGCAGCTGTCCTGACAAAATGCAGGGTAGTGGCCTGCACAGCAATGCAGGAAGCTTTACATGACAGCAGAACGGGCCTACTTTTGTACCCACGTAGGATTTCTGGCAGCAAAGTCTACTCTGGCACAGCTGGGCTGATTTCATCTAAGGGGGCCTCTCACCAGGTGCAGTTTCTGCCCAGAACTACAGCAGAGGCAGCAGGATGAACTGCAGCGCCCAGGTCCCTTGGGCTCCACGGAGCCTCTTTGGAGCTTCCTGCTCAGTGACAGCTGCCTCTGTCTTGCTCATCTTTAGTTATGGACCAATAAATTCCAACATTCCTGAGCTGCTCTACAAAAACAAACAAACAAACAAACAAAAAAACCTTAACACACTCTAAAAGAGGGTCTCAAGAAAGGATTCCTAGGGCCCAGAATAAACATTCTCTACCAAACCTTACCTACTCCTCAGCAGATATGAAAAAGTCCTCGTATGTCTAGGTCAATAATGTGAGATGCTGCAGGGACTCACCAATGCCAGAACATTCAGAACATTCAAGAAAAAACAGCTGGCATCCTCAGCACCACCAACAGTAAATGCTGTTATCACCCATGCACATACCAATCTTTTCTTACAGAACCATACATAATATACACGCAATAGTAAATTAATTCATGTTGTGTAAAATGAAGTCACTCCTTTTGAAATACATCATATCCCAGTGTTTACATACCACGTCTTATAGGATAAATTAGAAAGATGCTCTCCTAAATAATAACGAATAGCAACCTTATCAGGATGGTCATGTAGGACATGAGCTAAATCCGTGTGACTCATTTTCACAGGAAGGATTCTAAAGATGTCATTAATAGCTACAGAAAGAAGAGTAAGAGAGCAAATTTGACTAAGCAGTTACTGCTACTTAATATATACAAGTTATTACAGTCCTGAGCTCCACTCTCTCATTTACTGCTTTGCATAACGCAAGCAGCAGCAGTCCACAGAACACTGCTCTCTAACACTGACTTCTTTAAACAGATTACTGATCTTTCGCAAAAGGGACCTCAAGTTTAGTACTTCTGTGATGACATAGTGCCCCTTCTAAGCTGCTATATATAACTGTGGCTATTCATGGCTTCTGAACTTCATTTTGAATAAGCACAACTAGAGCTGATGATTACTATGTGCCTAAAATTTCACAGGAACTACAGGTATTTCAGACCTATCCCACTCCTTCAGGCACTGTAAGAATCCAAGTCTCACTGATGTTACTGCACAAAAGTCTTTATTCCTACCTATAATCTCCCAGAAAACTTATCTACTTGCCAAATAACTGAGCAGTAAATTTGCTTAATCTCATTTACACACCAGCTCTTCGCTGTCCCTCACCTTTTTGTGGAGCAACTGAGAAACACTTACCAGATCACCTCACCTCACTGTAAGTCACTGCTTGGAGGAGTTTCTGGCCATGACACCTATAGAACACGGCTGTGTTGCTGCTGTGGAACAAAACTCACTGTCATGATGTCCCGATCCACTGTCGGGGGAGGTTTCGATACGATCCCAAGAGCGAGATTAAGACACAAACGAGGTCAAATACCATACAACCTTATAAGCTCTATTTTCATAATAGTGATAAGACAGAGAGAAGAAGAAGGAAAAAAAAAACAAAAAGAAGAAAGACAAGCAAGCAAGCAGGAGAGATGCAGCAAGTTACCACACCACCAGTCGAGTTACGTTTCGTCATCTCTGCCTCGGTGCAGGTGATGATTTTCTTGGAAAGGAGTTGAGAAGAAGGAAAAGAAGCTTCTCTCTTAACGCGCATCTCCCTCCCMTTGGGGGGTAAAATGTAGTCCTTTTATTGTCCCAGTTCTTGAAGAGTCCACCCACTTTCTTGAAGCTTTTTGCTTTGGTGCCCCTCTTCCCCCCCCTACTCAACTGCCAGCGCCGCTTGTCAGGCTCCRCTGAGCATTGTTGGGGTCTTGGGCTAATCCATGAAGTTGTAAATTGTGTAGAGATAACAAACCTTGAGCTGGTATCGCAGTCTTCCCACGGACAGGATGCCAAGGCCAAGAAGTTGTTAATTGTATGAAGATAAGACACCTGGCATATCTCAGTCTTCCCAGAGACAGGAGGAAACTATATGGCAACAATGTCGAGACAGAACACAATCCACAGTAGTCTCTTACATAAACACAATCCACAGTTGTCTCTCATACATGATTACAGACACGGCCTCAGTGTGTCTGTTTCTTGTAATCTACGGCTGTTCGGTGACAACATGACTTTGAACTCTGTAGAACCAACAGAGACTGCAGCTGAATTTAGAGGCAAGAGCCAGGAAAACACACTGGCCAACTTTGAAGTACTGCTGATTGTGTGTGGTAGCCTACCTGCCTGTAAAAAGGCCTCTGAACAAAAAACTGCACTGACTTTAGCTGGTATTTGTAGTTATCCTGGTGATTTTTCACAATGCACATGCCCTGATGGCATCGAAGTGGCACTCACCTGAATCCTATTTCTGCATCAACTGTGCAAGCTTTGAATGTGCACACATACAGACCTACCGCAAACACACTTCGTTTCCTACAACACTTTTATTTTACCTCAGACCAGTGCAAAGCTGTAACTCTTTAGCTCCTGCCAAGTACATCACAGGAAAAGTGAATATGCAGAACACAGACATTTGCCTTTAGTTGCTTTGGAAGCTGTAACCCAAGCAAAAATTTCAGAGGTACCAATGAAAACATGCCCTAGGTTGGCAATAGCTCATCTGTGCCAGCTGTATTTCATATCTGAGTCTTTCACACTCCTAAGTCTGAATCTTACTGAGCTTCTTGTGCTCATACGATGCTTAACTTGCAATTTGTGATATTTCCATTTTGTATATTGGTCAGCTCTCCAGCCAGAAAGCAAAACAACGAGCACCCTTTGGAGAAGTTTCTATACAAAAGGGTCTGAGGCTCTTAGTTACTTGAGGAAAGCCTCGGGCCACTCTGATAATACCCCATCAGCAGTAGCGGAGGAGAATATTTCCTGCCGTTCTCTGCTTAACTCTTAACATCCAATGAAAAATTTATCTTCAGCCAGCTGTGTGAGAAGTGAAAAAGCTGCCGCCATGGTATCTCTTTCCACAGGGCCTTCCCAGGCTCTCAGAACAGGAAACTCAGTGCCGTGAGGATGGCTCTTGAGCTCCTGACAAGTCTCTTGGGAACGGGCAGGCCCCATGGAACAGGCACAGCGAGGAGCGCTGCTGCCAGACGAGGACACGGGACAAGTCCCTTCGATTCAGCTGAGCATGGGGTTAACAAGCGTAGCGAGCCTTCATGCTCCTTGCTTCTTTGGGGCTTTTTGGTGTTTTATGTATGATCAGGTATGATATGTTCTCTAGATTCAGTCTCTTTTAAAATAGTTTAGGCAGAACTTCTTTAAAATAAGAAATCTTTTGATGAGAAGCTCACTATTCAGAGACTGGGCATCAAACTGTGCTGCTTCCCTGCATATAACACTGAAGACAGGAGGCCATTTTGAAGCCGATAGCAGATCCATGTGGCTGCTCCAGGCCTCTCTCCTTGAGGTACCAGAGGCCCAGGCCAAGGAATAGCCACCAAGGTCCATTCATAGGACGTACCAAAGTTGGATGATGGCAGTGTACAGGTCACTTCCTGACCAGACCATTATCCTCCCACCAGGGCCTATCTCAGCATTCAAAGTCCAAAGGTGTCCAGCTAATCACCTAAGGGTCAATAAAAAGTAGCAGTGTCCCACAACGAAGACAAGTGATTTGGACTTTATGAACAACATTCTTATTCACTTGACATGATGCTGGTCAATGTCACCAATACCTGTCTGATCCATAATACTGGATTCTGAGGTTCTGAGCACCCCAGGGACTGCAGTCTCTCTCCCTGGAGTGGTTGGCTGCCCATGCCCAAAGCCAGCTCTGATGCAGTACGGTTGGATACCTGTGGGTCCTGCTACTACAAAAACTACTAAGTTGTGAGAAAGAGCTGCAAGAAGCCTGTGGCTTCCACCACAGATAGCTCACTTAAACACAAACCCTTGTCTTTGATCCTTGCCCGAGCTGTGCTGCAGGTATGTCTRACAAGGTCAGCCTTGGACTTGCTGAACCAGATCTTTCTTTGCCCACTTACTCCCCAGTTTCACTTCCAACCTACCTCACCACTGACAGCTTGTCCAGTGATGTTTGGCTGACCTTCGTTATTGTCACCAAACCTACTCGGCCTTTTTTGTTTGAGCAGAGTGGACTGTGCCCCTTTTTGGCAAGGGCACAGCCGCTGCCAGCCTTGTGGAGCCTATTCTGTGCACAAGCAAAACTTAAACAAAATTCTGTGCCTGGAACGTCACTGCTTTAGTTATGAAAACAAGAGACAAACATAAATTCTAATAGTCTTTTCCAGATCACTACCAATAGCACAACTCTGACCTTTTATGCTCTGAAATACTTAACCCCACCACTGTTATGCTATTGCCCCTTGAAACCAAACTAAAGACTTCATTTCCACACACCATTAAGTGAAAATAAGAACAAAAAGCTCTGTTCAAAGCAAGGCGGCACTTTGCACTCAACACTTCAAGAGACATGTGAACTGCAGCTCCCACCTATCCATAACACACCAAGGGCACATCTTTGAAACTCAGCCTACTAGCTGGAGTACTCTTTAGTCTTCTTTAATCCTGCTCTGACGACCCAGCCTGACTTGCCTCAGCCATCAGCAGTGCACCCCCACATTAAGGTTTCAGTATGCTTCTTTGAAGGCAATGGCTGAAGGTAATGTCACCGAGGCACTTTCAATTTAATGCACATAAAAAGGATAGCTGCATTTGTACCTGGAAACCAGCCAGCTTTCCAGGTACATTCTTTTAGTCAACTATTTTCTCACAGTTCTGCACCTCTTGCTCTGGAAGTTACAGTGCCATTAACCAGCAGGTGCCCCAAGCTACATTCTTCAGTGCTTCCCTGTTGATGACCCAAACTGGGGAGTGAGGATATGATAGCTGAGGGATGTCTTGGACATGAAAAATACAAGTTCTTTCCAAACTCTAGGAGTTTGGAGCAGGAGCCATGAGGCTTTTTGATGCTAGACATCATCAGTACAGCATTCACAAACCTGAGGTGCCCCAAACAGGAAGACAGAGCTAATAAGCATAAGTTAAAAAGGGGGCAGAAAAGCTAATGATGGACTGTTGAAACAGGCGTTTCTTTGTCTATTGGAGTGATATATGGTATATGACTGCTGGATACCACAAGTTATTCAACAGGGTGTCTTACTGGAAAGGGCAAAAGAAGAAATTCTACCTAGGGATTTTTGGTAGCACTGTAGCTGTCCATGTCTTCATAAGGGTAGTTTCCTGAAGGCACCAAATAGAATTTTTAGGAAGGAGAACATACACAAGAGATGCCCTTGTGGCTCATCGCCGTCAGCTTCTCTAGTTCACCACAAAAGAATTCCTTTCGCCTTTGAACATCCGAGGATGCCAACCAGTCCCGGCTCCCACACAATCCAGGTAGCCACCCACAAGCCTTCTGCCGTAACCCCCCTCACCCAGGGGAGCAGCTACCAGCAAAGGCCCAGAGAAGAATCTCTTTACCTTAAAGCACTTACAGCATAACTTGTCACTGCTATTGCTTAACAAAAACAAAAGCAATACTGCCCCTCCCCGCTAAAAACAAGAAAAAAAAATCCACATGCAAAACCCACTGGCTGAAATGGGCATTGTGTGCACTGTGGTTTCCACAGCTGTGTGGCTACATCAAGCTGCAGTGCTGTCCCTCACACAAGCCGATATTTGCCTGCTAAACTCATTCTGGGTTCAGGCTGAAGAGACCAGAGAAGAATCCTGCACCAGAGCTAGAGCTGGGAATACATTTACGATGGATGTTGATTTTCAAAATGCCTCCACTTGACTGATTAAAAAAAACAAAAACAAAAAGAACTTGCCCTAATTAAACATTTATATTCAACAGCTAAGAAGGTTTAAGTCTTCACTAAAACCTAACAACAACAAAAACGATGCACAGGAAAAGAAAAAAAAGAAAAAAACCCCAAACACATACACACACACACAATGAATCATGTGCTATTTTATCTCAGTGAAAAGTCTCATTACACCCTAAAAGGTAAGTGTCATTACTTGCTTGACATGAGCTGGAGATTAAAGAGCTGACAGTGTATTTTTAAAACAGTTACCTTAGGTTTACACAAAACAAAAATCTGAAAGAGCAATAACAAATCTATGTAGTGTCATGAACCTAGATGAGAGTAACTAGATTAAAAAAAAATTTATCTGCAGGTATACCAAGAAATGCATTTGGTCAGAAATGTATGAAAAAGGCAGCAATAACCTGAGAATGGGCCTTTGGAGGAAAGCTCTATCGTTTGGGTTCAGTTGCTTCCATGCTGTTCCCTTAGCCAAAGGGCTGGATGTGAAGAGAGGACAACACAGTCCCCTTTCGCCTTGCTCCCCTCGGTGCTTAGCTGGGGTACGTTTCTGTCCAGAACACAGCAGCAAGGTGAACTCTCGCCATGCTGGCACAGCATGCAGAGTTACGTCGGTGAGTTACTGCTGTAGCCTCTCACGCTTGATGCATTGGAAATTAAAATAAACTCTCAGATTCTGGGATTATAAGAAAAATCAGATTTTTTTTTTTTCTTTTGCTTCTACTTCAATTATGAGCCCAWATTGCTCATTATTTTAATTGTAGAAAAAAAAAGAAATTGCAGTTTATATTATAATAGGCAAGTAATTTTTCCCTATCCCACTGTATTTCAGCTACAATCATTAGCACATCATTTACAAAGATTTTCTTAATAGAAAAATAGGGATTTTCCCACAGATCCTTCTTGAATAGGAATAATAGACCT